ATCATCCAATCAATTCAGCAAAAGCTGATGAGTGTTCATGCCCGCCACAGAAGCACGACCGAATGTGATCAGCGTTCAGGCATTTCATAGATCGATGTTGATGGGTGTTCACTAACGCCTACCAGACAGCCTGGATCAATGTCAGAAAGTCTCCTTCAAATAGCGTGGGACCGTTGTAACTTTTGCTCTCGCACTCGCACGCACTCACTCGCTTGTTCGGAATATAGCCGTTGTGTTTCCTTTTGTCATTTTTTTCCGGCACTAGGCACTGCAGCGGGTCAGCAGCACCTACAACAGATTGGCGAATCAGCAGATATAACAAATATGTTCTGTGTGAAACTTTTCACTGTAGTTTTGTCAAGTGCTCATTGGAAGAACAAGCATACATGTGATCTGTTGAAATTGTTGTACTTTGTTTCACGCACCATTTTTCGTCGGCACTTGATCGAAAAACACCTGTCTGAAGATCTCTCAGATTTCAATTAGGTAACATTAGTCAACACTGGAAATTCTATCGAAATGTATTATTATGTTCCCGCCTATAATAACTGAGTCAGTTTGACGCTAGCAAAATGAAGAAACTTTGCAATTTTTTCCATCAAGATTTGGTCCAGTAGGTGAGAACAATCCATACCAAAAAGCCGAGAAACACTGTTTCATTAGGACCCATCAGCTTTGTGCATGTCATAAACTTTCAAGGTTGTTTGAGCCCATTGATGTCTAAACTATTCGGCTACGAGTGCTTGATCGAGAGTGTGATTGACTCACGCTAAGGCAGGATGTAACACCACTCATCCTTCAATCACAGAATCCATGTCACGTGGTCACTATCGACCAGAATGACGACTTATCAAAAAGTCGGTTCACTTGCCTTGTGATCTATTTTTCCCTTTTATTTTCGAGAGTAAAGCGTCGCACCACCATTGCGCTACGAAGAGTTGACGAATAATACAAAAGAAAGCAAAACTGGAATGATTACCAATCTCGCTCTGTGTGATTTGTCGCAGAGGGTAGTATGGTACACACAGATACGCAAGGGTGAGAGGTTGAAAGACGGCGAATTTGCTGAACAGAAGGCTCCTGGTTCTAACCTAGCCTCTGCATCTCGGCTTCTCCTGTCGAGGCTTAGGCAGTATCTCAGCCCGCGTGCTTCTTTCGAATGGCATGGTAGCAAGGTACGGGAAGCGTGGTAAGCTGAACGACTTCTATCTATTGGAAAAGGTCTGGAACCAAATGAGAAATCATCGTTTTAGAAGGACTTGGTAAACAATCTGTAGTTTGTTCGCTTTTGTCACAATGCTTCATCAAGCCATGTGGGCAGGTCACTAATCTGACCGGGCTTTAAGACAGACGGAGAACCAGTCAGTATAACCTCTTCAGATTATCATACAAGATCAATGTTGAATGTTAAATAAAGGGTCTTGTCGGCTAGTGTGGTTGCCTAAACTTGCAGTTGATGGATTGGGGGAGTTTCAAACTGGTTTTGATCGACTTGTGTTGATGACCTCTCCTGATAACAGCACACCAACACATGTCAGCTCGGCTGATCAAAGACCGTTCTCCTTACGCTTGACAGTTCCACGCCTTTTATCCTATTCGCAATGGAATGCCTGGCAATTTCCACCGCCTCGACCATCAGTCTCTGTGGTAGCATTTTCAAAGTCTCTTTTGTGTCCCGTGTTCAGGGCAGGTTCTGCCACTGCCGAGTCTTCCACTAACGCTCGATATTCATCTTCGTTCTTGTGCTCTCCGATTCTGGTGTGAAGCTCCCTCACTGTCTGTCCCGCAGAGGAATTTCAGGCGCAGTCCCTAGTTCTGTTTGCCGGAAGGCGATCCTTCAATTCTACCAGTGCACCATCTGGAACGTTACTATTATGTTAGCTGTGTTTAGAATCCATCGAATCACTGATTTGTATAGAATAACGTCAGTTCCAATCCACCCCCTGTTGGTTTTCGATCCCAAAAACATTCGCAACTGACGTCTAATCAAACTAGTGGATACCATTATCCCGAAGTTTGTTCTTTACTTCAATTTGGGCTGCTGTTTGACCGACCACTTCTGATTAAGGGCCCTTCAGTGCCCAAATATTTGAGGCACTACTAGCGAATAACGAGTAGTTCAAAACTGCCCCAGTGTCAGTTGGCTTCTCGTACACTGTAGTCTTTAGTTTCTCCTGACCTTATGTATCATGCAGTCTAAGAAGACCAGTGTACCTGAAGTTGACTCTCTCCCCATTCTAAGTTTGATGTGTGGTTCGGTCATTCAGACCCCTGACCTTGTCTCATTTCATCACGACGAAAGTGTCGTCCACATAAAGCCAGAATATCTCGGGTAGGTACTGGAATCCCGCTAAAGCTTTCCGTTCAAAATCTCCCGACGTGCAAAAGCCGGCGACAGCGGAGATCCCACTGCTAAATCTTGTTCTTGGGTGTAAACCACGGAGTTGAAAACGAGGTGGCTCAGATTCAGGTATGAATCACCCGCTTCAACTATTTGATCTATCTTAAGCTGTTTCTGTTCTGAAAGGGTTATGTCTGCTACTAACAGTCGCTTATTTATTTCTAAAAAGTCCCCTTTTGGCACATTTCTATATAAAGCGAATTGACATCGAAACCTACAAGAACCTCATCTGGTTCCACCCGCTACTTTGTTGGCAAAGTCATATGAATTCCCAATGTAAGTACTACTGACTGGTCTCCGTCTGCCTTAAAACCTGGCAAACCTAGTGACCTGTTCACCTGGCCTCATGAAGCTTTTGTGTCAGAAGCAAAAGGTTGCCTAGTTAAAAACTAGCGATATTTTTTACCAATCCCTCCTGAAACTGGGGACGTTCACGGGACAGCACGCAGCAAAATGCCACGGACAAATGCAAGCTCGAGCACATGTTAACACGGTAACCGAAGTCATTGACAAGTAGTCCAACGCGTTCTAAACGGAAATGGACATCAAGTTATTCCTTACTACATGAGGTCAGTCATCATCATCATCATCATCATCATCATCATCATCATCATCATCATCATCATTGTCAGCTATAATAACCGCGTACTGGTCGTACAGTGGCTGTAGCTCCGTAGGTGGTAAGTGAGGGAGTTATGGGAAGGGAGCTATGCATTGAAGGCAATAGCTTGGATTTATGAGCGTCATTGAGAGCGCGACTGGACTGTTAGTGAGGGAGTTATGGGAAGGGAGCTATGCATTGAAGGCAATAGCTTGGATTTATGAGCGTCATTGAGAGCGCGACTGGGCCTTGTCTGACAATGTCCCTGATTATTGATATTGCCCGTCTCGGGGTCCCCATCCAAGAAGATGGCAAAGACCAACGCAGCTGAGTTTGCTGATAATGGCTTTCATACATGAAGTCAGTGAGAATATCTATACAATTATTACGAGTTTCATGGTCGGAAACGTTTTCCATATCATCACAAAGCCTTTCAATCACTTTGTTCATACAGAATACCAGTAAATTTGTTCCGCATCATGGAAACGCTCTAATTTGCGGGACCGAGTTTATGCGGATGAACGGAGTTAGCCCCAATGTTTCAAGGGTGATTCACTGAGGAACCTGCAGGGAGCCAAATTCAAGTCTCTCATTTAGGGATTCTTTATCAGTGTTTGTTATTTCTATGAGGGAATAATTTTCTAAAAGCACACTGCTTACTCTTTACATCATTGTACACAGCAAGTTGCCGCACGTCTTCGACCCGCGGCCAGTGGTCGACACACCAATATCATGGATAACTTGATGTCTCTGATGGAAGAGTATGCTGTCGAATTGGAAAAGTTGGTCGCTGCTCGTTCAGCTGAGCTGATGGAAGAAAAGAGCAGGACCGAGCAACTGCTCTATCAAATGCTTCCGGAGCCGGTGGCGGAACAGTTGAAGAGAGGAAAGCTGGTAAATAGATTAGATTTTCTTCGTTCTGGTCATATCCTCACTACCCGCTCCTAATTGACATCGTCTCAATGGCATCTTGTTTACTTCACAGGTCGAGCCGGAAGCATTCGACAGCGTTACGATTTACTTCAGCGACATATGTGGATTTACCGAATGGTCGTCCACGGCCAGTGCTTTCGAGGTTGTCAGCTTGCTGAACGAGCTTTATACTCGGTTCGATGCCGTTCTTTCCTCGTATGATGTATACAAGGTGGAGACCATCGGTGATGCTTATATGGTTGTCAGTGGTCTTCCAAAAAGGAACGGTAAGTTCACATATTGTCAAAAATTCGCCTTATCTTCGAATTTAAGCCCAACAGCAGTAAAGTTCATATAAACTTGTACGCAAGGCACCTAATAGTGGGTAAAACTGCAGAACGGGACAGTTTAGACGGACGAGCTCAAATTGTGGCTCGTTGCTGGTCTTGGCAACGACATCCGCCAAACTGCAAATAAGGGACCAATCAGACTATTCAAAATTCCGTTCCGTTCTTCAGCCAACGATGTTTACCACCCTATCATGAGTGACTCGAATGAAATGGGCACATAACCTCCTTGTCCTGGTTGTAACGACAGACCCAAGTGAACATCTGGTGTGTGGCATTCTCCAACAGAATAAGCTGTACGAAAGTCATTCGGTGTTTCGGTTGGCGCGATATTCAAGATGTGAATGCATTTCAGCATTTAGGTAAAATCTGATTGGCTGTCGAAGAGTAGCTTGTCCTTCCAAGAGTATATACCGCTTTATCTGGAATATCATGCCTTATAAACGAGATATTTAGTTGAGTGTTTTGTTAACGTCAATCTGAGTTGCAAATATGTTTATTTCCCTACAATACTATAAGAAAGTATAACATAATATTGACGGAAACTCAGCGGCCACCTCAACTTGATGGGCCCCAGAAGAGCCGAACCGGTACCGGCCGCCGAATAGATTTCGGCATTCTTAACGTCAAGATCCTATACTGTAATATCTCAATTATCGAATCAACCTGATTGAGTAGAGCTATTTATTGATCTAGCGAGCACACAGATGATGCACTTAAGGTGTATAGTGTGTTCTTTCCAGGTGTGTTAATCACTATGCTACACACCCTAATTGAACACTTTGCACCTCTCCTCGGTCCAACCTTATTCAACCTAAAGGTCGTTTCTTAGACAAGAACTAATCTGCAGTAATGATATGAGGGATGTAAGGGAATTCCCTACTCAAGTACTGACCGCTTTCGAAAGCGATCAGGTTTTTTTCACTGAAGTAAAAGTCCACCTGACGGTACAGTTTGTTGGAATCAAACGGGCGCGTAGTTCTCGCCCAGCTTGTTCCATACTACTCACAGTAGCACCAATAGAGTGTGTACCACTCATGGCTAAAAGCCAAGTTGTGAAGATAGGATAGCTGTTCCCATCTGTCCGCTATTTACGGTGGCAATAACCATGCCTTTGTTCAACTCTGACCACATAACTTGTGTTGTTTTCTGGTGACAGCTTATGTTGACCTCTCCGGGCTGGTCGTAAAGGGAAGCTTGGTGTATACAAAGAACCACACTGACACTAGACCGGTAGACAATGGGTGGAACCGTTAATCGACTGACTTGCAAGTGGCAACAAGGTGGCAGAGTGTTTCACAAGGAACCGTATCTACCTTGATCCACCTTCCCCAAGCCAGCGCCTTGTTAGCACGGTGGACCTAGAAGCCTATGCGACCGCTACGATAAATTCAGTAAAAACTTGGTACAAACATATGAATACTATCAGACTGAATCCCTACTAAAGTGCTTTCGTTATCTTGATGGACTCTAATAAGAGCGAAACTCGGGTCCAGTGCTTCCCTTTGGTGTGAATTCACCGGAATAATTACGCCAGAATAGGAACACGGCCGTTCAAACAAAGAGTGGTGGACTATGAACAGAAAGCCTTATTCCTAAAAGGGATGAGCTTTGTACAACAGTTCCTTGAGCCCGGTAAACAGGAACGAGACAGTTGAAACACTAATAGCCTGCAAAGTTTTGATGCGTTACCTCAGCTTATTCTTTTGGAAGTATTCTGAAAAATGACACTGTGCGTACGTATGGACAGTAATCAGTGATAGTTAATTAGGACAGATTGCAGACGGTTCAGAAGAGCTGTTTTCTTCTGTCTCGAGTAACTTTAGTACAGGGTAGAGGATCCCTGCTCCACTGGGCTAGCCATCGCTCTCAGCCATCTTGGTACACAGTATGTGAGTCTTTTACTTTGCGTATCGGTCGGTCAGTTCCTTGGTTTAGCCCAGTTCATAATGACACATTTTGTTTGAGGCCATTCCTGTGACGAGAACAGACGGCTGAATGAATTACTCCTTGACAAGCTAAGCTGACGTTAAAATACCTGACCATTTGTTGCTTTAAATGTGTAAGAGGATCCTTTTAATCGTTGGCGGCTAAACCGAAATGCATACGATATTATTTTCCACCAATATACAAGAATGATACTCAGTGGATGTCTTCCACATTTGGCTATCGCTAATTTTCTTCTACGATCTTCGATCTATCATTTCGCACCGAACATGGCGTTTTGTTAACAATTCGCCTCTTCGCCTATGAGCTGTTCATTTCACCTATTTTCTACTTTTGGTTTACCGCTTTCATTGATTTCGCAGAAAACCACGCCGGGGAAATTGCCAGTATGTCACTTCGTCTGTTGGATGACATCAAAGAAAACTTCACTCTGTCTCTTCGTATCGGCATTCATTCAGGGCCATGCGCTGCTGGTGTTGTTGGGACAAAAATGCCTCGGTATTGTCTTTTCGGCGATACGGGTAGGTTGATTTCGTCGGCAAGCCTCAGTGCTAGCCTTCCACAGAGGATGTCTGTAGGGCAGGAGGGTACCTTTAAGAAGATTGAAAAAACTGGTTGGCCTCAAATTCATTTTTGTTTATAGAGTGATCGGAAAGTGCAGTCCACTACTCTGAATGGCAAATACATGTACCACCTTCCACAAATCGACTTGGTTGTCTCGGAAGCTGGGCTACCGACCAATCATAGCAGGAGGGGCACAGTTGTGGCCTGCCCAGTGGATGAGCACTCTTCAGGGAAAGCATACTAAAGGAATAATACTATATCAGACAGAGAAAAGATGGAATGTTTCAAACTTCTCTAAATCAATGTTGTCGTCTTGAGGAGCTGAGTTCATTCCATGGGTGTTCTTGACAGTAGCATTTGAATGAATCTTCCAGCAAATACCTTTTTCAAAGATGTGGAGTTTGTGAGCAGAATGCTTCACATTGTGGACCAAGTGTAATTCAACCTGCACTTGCCGGTGGTTTATTCAACTCGGCTGCACTTGATGCGTAGCCTCGTGTGTCAAACGTGCTTGTTTATGGGTTTCTCGTGCGATGAATCTGGTTAAACCTATTAAAGTTCCAATATGATGCACTGAATAAGAGCAACGTACTTTGGTTTGTTCTTTGACCACGCAACCCTACTCGACCAATGTTGAAAACCAGGCAGCTAGTACTGTAACCATCTTGGCAGTTCGGAGTTCGTTCCCGGATTTCACTATGCCAGTAAAGCCAACATGTGCTGAAAATCTGACTACAGATATTGTTGTGGACCACAGTCCCTTGACGCCTTCTTATTACCGTGGACCCCGGTCTGGATAGCCGCTTGATCGAGTGGTGCGCTTGGTCACACCAGAAAAACCCAACGAACCTGCGAGCCGAGTGCTCTATTGATCACTGTCGCGTACAAGTGGTCAAAAGTGATACTAAGAATACAACTCATCTGTCAAGGACGAGTGAAGAACAGCCAATGAAATCTGTCTAAACGAAAAACGGTTATTCGATTGGCAGTTATGTAGTCCCGTTACGTTCGGAGCTGGTTCTCTAATATCTCCCCTTTGAAGTTGAGTAGTACACAGGCGCTTCTGGCAGCTGTTTGCAATCTGAGTGTCGGTTGTGGTAGTCAAAAAGCCTAACAACAAAGTCAGGATAGGTGCAGACTTTTCAACTGGTCTCAACGCGACACTACATCATCATCAATACCCGCTGCCGTTTCCAGATGAACTGCTTTTCAAGCTGAACGGGGGAAATGTTTTACCAAGTTTGGTCTATCTGATTCTTATTTGCAGGCTGAAGTGTCGGACGAGAGTGAGCACCTATTTACAATCAATACACATCGTGGACTTTTCCAATACAACCGACTACCATTCGGTGTTGAGTCCGCACCGACAATATTCCAGCAGCTAATGGACACCATGCTACAAGTACTATCATTCTCTGTTGCATATTTGGACGATATTATCATCGGCTCTGACCCAGAATAGATATCTAGCCGCTTTATCTGTTTGGGGAAGCATTAAAAGCCTGTGTCTGTCGAATCTCTTGGGGTGAGTGGACTAGAACTTTGAACACTACCCAGTCATGGGGAGTTACCGCTCACCGCTCATCCGCACAGATTACGTCACGTGATTCGTCACTGATTGCATCTTCGAATGACTCACAGTACAGTTTTCTCCAAGATCCATTTGAGCGAAAGGCGTAATACTAGTCCATACAAGTCAGTGCAAAATATTCTAGATCGCTCGATGCAAAATGATTTCGATAAATGCAACCGAATACATAGTGGTCATGACAACTAAACTGTGGTGGATTTAACTCAGTTGCATACTTTTAGCTGCTATGGGCCATCCTACAAAAGTTAAGCAACACTACACCTGGGAAGATGCGCAGATATTCGCTGCGAGGTGGTCAGCTAACGACAACTTGGTCAGTATCAACCGCATCATTCTGGTGTAATATGATGTGCACGACTGACGTTGAACCGGACTTTATTGACTACTCATCAAAGAGAAGCGTCCTATTGGGGTAATTTTTGGCAGTAATATTACGTCCATATCAAGCAATCTCAACGAATGAGCATGAAGTCAAGCCCACATCACTCTCGTTTGAACATTTGCCGTCCTTTCCAGGTGCAATCATTCTGGTGAGTTCACACCAAAGAGCATAAGTAGTGGGCTCATCAGTAATGGTTACCCTTTACTACGCCAGGGTCTGAACTCCACGCATCCTACATGCGACGCGTGTGTGTCACCCCTACGTCGCCACTGGACGCGTCTGAATTTTCACGCCTGAATAGGGAAATATGCTCACTCTTTTGTGACATGACTGCTTGGCCCGACGTCTCCAACGACGACTCATTTGCGTCGATCGAGTCGCTCGCCTGTCAGAACCTCCCATTCAGATAGCACCACTGATATTTGTAACGTGTTGGTCATTTCGTGAGTTTCCGGTGTAACTGCATCACACCTTCCTCAAAAGTTTGTGTTGCCTTTTTACAGGGTTACTTGACGGTTCCAGACCACAATTCAACGCCAGCGCGCGACGCCGGTTCTTCGGCGTCAAAATACCTTAAATTAGTGTAAGAAATGCATACTGATGAGGAACAGTAGGAGTGAATGTCACCACATGTTCACAGAAGTGTGATCAACCTCAAACGCAAACAGCTCCTACCTGCCAATCATACTACACATGGTCTCCACCTGTGTTTCCGTTATTGATAAGTTGGATCCACTTCGGTAAACATCAAAGATATCAATAAACTGAATGGAATCCGTGTGGAAAAAACTTTAAGATGTTGTACATACCTATGGATGTAGCAGACAGTGAATACAGAAACGCGTTTATGACGGGAGCATTCATGTTGAATACGTTGTTTTACAGTTAACACCGCAAGTCGAATGGAGAGTCATGGTGAGCCATGTCGTATACACTGCTCTGAACAGTGTAAACAGCAGCTGGATCGTCTGGGCGTTTATGTCCTCCAGGAGCGTGGACTAATCTCGATCAAGGGCAAAGGTACGGTTCGTACCTACTGGTTGCTTCACAAAAAGAAGCCAAGTTTGACTGCCAGAAAGGTGAGTCTGTGGGTTATGGGTTCATTGTTTGGTCAGGTTGAATTGTCATTAAGTTGCTTCATTCTCATTATATTCAGTACCACCTCATTCTTTTACATACCTTCGCAGTCTAAACTGGAGTCGCTGAGCCGATACTTTAGTTGCGTTCCACGACATCTCTCTTGACGTTTTTGTGAACATGAACGGAAAACCAAACGCTTTACAGCCTTGCTGAGGACTATTACTAGCGCGCGAATATCTAGGCGAAATTAGCCGTTTGAAAAGTAGCTGAGACCACCAGTGGATATCAGATCAGGACTTTTACCTAAATGTGAGAAGGTGCCCATCCTTCAGCTAAAGGTCATGTGAGCCGGTTTTGAACTGTTCTCCAGAGTGATAAATGAGAAACTCACAATCGTTGAGGGTGTGATTTGACGTAGTGGAGAACAAACAGAAGTTTGTCCGCTTCTATATTTCGTGAAATGTGTGCCTGAACGTGTCTAGTAATGATTATGTACATACTTTATTCGTGGGCAGTGTGATTTCCTTCGATTTGGCCGGAACAAGGAGCCAGAACGCAAATTCATTAGGAAGACAAATTTGAAATGAATTCACAACCGGTGGACTAGAAAATATTTTGCCTCTAATTCTTCTGGGTAACATGTGACTCCGAGAGTACGCATGACAGCAGATAAATATCGGTCCTCACACTAGTGTGAATATTAATCGCAGACTCGTGGTTCGTGTTTCTCGTTTATAAGACAAGACACTCTAACAACGAATTGCCTCAAGTGAGCCTCACACACAAGTATGGTTTCTTAGTAGAATGCGAGGAGTAAGAATCCCAACAGATGAACAAACAACTGAACGCATGTGCGTCAAGGGCTCTAGCCGCAGTGGAGGATCGGCTGGTAAGTGAGAGGTCACGGGTTCGATCCCTTGCGAAACATTTGCAATTTCATTTGAATTATGTATAAGTGGGGTCATAGTAAAACGTCGACGTTGTGCTAGGGTAGTATTTTATTCTTCAATGACCATCATACAGTCCATTTCGACCAACAGAACTGAGTATTCAATCAATTATGTGGTTATCGTCTGGATACTGCATTCCAGCCCTATTGATTCTGTTCTCGCTTCTAGTTCCCGGCCCAGCACTCTCCATACCCAGGCCAAAACTTGTGGAATCCCGTCTTCCGGAACACTGGCTGCTCACAAGCGCCCGAAGACTCTGATGCCTTTAGGGTTAGTTATTTCCTGCACTGCACATGTTTTGCTGTGTCAGTTTTATCCTGGTTGTAAATGAGTTCACTTGTTTGTTTGTTGGAGAAACTTCACATTGCTTTAAGCATTTTCAGGAGCGATCAACTTATTTATAGGGGTTAGCAGCTTGACATTGATAAAATAGCCATAGTGAAGACAAGTCAACAGTTTGGTGAGATGGGCGAGATGGCCCGAGTGGTTAGAGCGTGAATTTACCGACCGGAAGGTCCTTGTTCGAATCCGACCTCTGCATCTTGACTTCCTCTGTCTAGGCTTGGGAAACATGGCAGTATCACAGCCATCGTGTTTCCTTCGTGTGGCATGGGAGCTAGGCACCGAAAGGGTGTTGGAGCTGAACTATTTTTTATTTAAGGTTTGCATTCCTCTCAACGGCACACACCCCAGGTGCTGCTAAAGGCCAGATGGACTGTTCTTTGAATTAGCTAGGTGTTAGTGGGAGACTCAATCGATTACCAGCTGAATCTTTTGTTTATGATTTCCCTCAACTGGGCGTGTTGCAGAATGGCCTTGTCATATTCCAACTACAATGTGTGAGATATCGCAGTACGGATTGTTCAAGGAATACACAACTCATGTGGTTGTCGAAAAGATTTCAGGAACCTTGTGAGTAGTCAATAATTGTGATCCGACCAACTCTGCTCACAAAAACGTGTATACATCTAAGCGACATTTCCAGAAAATGAGCTATACTGCATATTTTTGTAATGTGCTACTCATAAGGTTGCTGAAAACTCCTCGACAGCCCACGACCGGTTTCGCCATTCCAGTTCGGGCTCATCAGGTAGGCGCAGTCCCCGAGTTTCCGTCAAACTTATGTTCTACTTGGAACAAAATTGCGGGAAATTAGCGAAATACACTCATTCGCAAACTAATTTGGTTTTTCGAGTGACTCACCTGAAACCCAGCTGAATCTCTCGGTTTTGATGTTTCCAGCGGGCAGCTGAATGTGCTGCACCAGGCCGCCTCATGTTTCAGATTTGCGGTAAATCTATCGGGTAATACAGCATTCAGTGTCAAGCTTTTTCGAACTAACTTATCATCATAGGCCAGAATTTCGATCACAGTTCAATTCACTGATTTGATTGGTTGAACACCCATTAACGAAAGATTTAGGGTATCATCATCTCCCTGCATTCTTATTCCACATCTAGCTTTTTGGTTCGGACAAACCAGAAGCGCCCAAATCACAATCAGACGGTACAAACGTAATTGCGAATGCCTTTGAACATCCAACCACATCACTTGGATCAACAAACATCAACCGGACACGTCTGTCTAGGCCAAGTTGGTTTGCGCGTACACTATCTGCCAGTACTGAACGATATTTCGGGTCTTCAAGAGACCGATCAATATTTGACAAGGGGCGTGAGTCGCCGGTAAGTCCTCCGCGATTAGAAGGGCATCTGTCAAGGATTCTCAGGAGTATTACGTCCTATCAGGTGAAGTAACGGCATCGCACGAGGTATGGTTTCCTTTCTAGGCCTGTTAATAGATTATACAGAGTCTACCCCCCCATTAGCGGTTAGGTATTACCCCCGCTTTCAAGTAGTATACATCATTGCTAGACGCATTACCCCTTCGGAGATGGGGCTCCTCAGGAGAGTTCATATCACATAATCACTGCGAAATTTCAGGCCAGGATGAGGTCACAAAAAGACGTCAAACTTTCAAAACGAAGTGACCTACTGAATGCACCGATGACTTACAAACTGCTCAACATCTGCCTGACCCGCCTGTACAATGGCCTCAAAATTCTCCGCAAATTCCGGAACCCAGTCTCACAATACTCGACAGCGTGCAATATTTGCTTATTGACAAACCTGCTCTTTCATTTCCCCAGTTCCGGGCATTTGACCCGGGTTCATCAGACAGGATGTGTTTAATCAGTTAGAATTCCGATTACTCGTTAGTAGTTAAGAGCAAATTTGTAATAATAATAACCTTTCAGCTGTAGCGTCCTTTTGGTGTCTAGCTGCCATGCCACACGAAGGAAGCACGAGGGCTGGGATACTGTCAAGTTGCCCAAACCTAGAGAGGGAAGTCGAAAGGCAGAGGTCGGGTTCGAGCCATGGACCTTCCCGTCAGAAAATCCGCGCATCTCGCTCTAGTGTAGTGATATTTTAACATCATTTTATAAAACTTGCAATTCAACAAATGCCCTCCTCACCCGGGGGAAACCGTCACTATGGTAAAACTCCGTGAGAAGACTATCGTTTCATAAGCGCAACCTGGAATTGCATCAGTCTGTCGTTTGAATCTGTCTACTGAAAGGCAACTCCAGTGTCGAAGCTGTATACACAGTGTATCAAACGTTAGACAGGTGAGACTTTATCCCTCCACCTCTTGATGTATCACCCCAATAAGGGGTCGTATGAGACACGGAAGGCGCAGTTCAGCTTTCAGAAGAAACTGCTTTCGGTGAGTCTTTTGAAATGAGAACGAAGTGCGTAGCGAACAAAGCTTGTTTTCTGTGATTGTTCCCCTTGGCTAATACATCACAAATTTATATGGTAGCAGAAATCACGCGAAAAGGTTAAGATCGGGGGTACATACATTTTAGAGAAATAGAAATTACAAAAAAGGGGATTGGGTGAGGGATAGGTCAATGGGTCACGGAATTGATCTCACAAGAGAAGTCAGACCCCTAAAAAAACTAGAGACAACGTTGTCAAATGAAAGACAAGCTACGCGTTAGGCCTTGAAAATTCAACATGAGCTATCCAACAGCTGTAGTCAGAAGACCGATGGTACTCTGGTCATGTTCGCTTGAAGTAAAAGGCTAACAATAGTGCGTGAATCATGCACGTGGAGTGTGTAAGCCAGTCTAAAAGCGTTTACGCACCCAAATGTTCACGGTTGATCTTTGTAAATCCGAGTCGCCTCCACTGTACAAGGCAGTTAGCATCTAGTTATGTAGAATTCTGAGTTTGACTCGGTACATTACAGTCACCCGGTGTCTCCTTGTACGCATGAGATGCGCCACAAGGCAAGCTGTTGACTGTGTGTAATTCTTTTGCCAGCCAAGTGGGACACCCTCAGACAAGGAAGTTAGACTTTCAACATCAGATGATGGGGAGAAGGTAAACGTACGTACGTAGCTGAACAACAGAAAAGTGCGTTTAAACGCTCCGTTGCGTTTCTGACTCAACATTTCAGTAGCCACATTCCTCTTAGTTCCCATTTCCGACACATATGCGTATATTGTACTATTTGTCTTAGCTTACGTTGGTTTCATCTTGCGCAACGGAGGGGTAGAACCATTACCAACGACCAACAACTACGGAAGCGGATACTCGACTGGAACCCATTTTCAAGGTTACCAAGCGGGAACGTTAATCGATATAAGGTTTAGACGCTAGTGAAGGAACAGCTGTGTGGTGTTTGTGTAGCGTGCACAGCGGATATTCGGTGTGTCAGAGTATGCACTTTCTGTGGAATCAAAAATTACACCAAAAAAACCTGACCATGGCAACCAGCAACCGGGCCGGTCGGGAATTTTCTGACCTGGAGGGTTATTCTTGGATCTACATCTGCCAACTGTACGAACGATGTCCAGTCTTTGAGTTCAGTGAATATAGAATGCAGCTGGCGGCGTGGTACAACCTTAGTCCAACTGTTATCTGCAGAACAGTTGAAACTTGTTTTACAATGGTTTTAACGGAAATTTCCTCGGCAAAACGCATTCCATTTTTAGTGTGTGCTCAGCGCATAACACCGGTCAATCTCTTTGTGTGACACTGAGGTGACCCCCGAGTATGTGTGAAATATGATGTGGTAACGGCCGCACAGTAACTTCTCAGCTGAATAGGTTGCTGACGCATATTATTCCCAATGAACAGAGTATTGAGCACATTTTGTTATGTCAATTTTTAAAACAAAATTTAGGGTTTGAAATATTAACAAGGCAGTCAGTTGACATTGTGGACGATTTCGGCTGTTGGTTTGATAACACTATCAACAGAACAACCTCAATTCCTGGAGGAAACTAGTCACAAGGTTGCTGATAACTTTTCGACAGCCCACGTTGTGGTTTACCTTTCTTAGGGATCATCAGACAGGTGCAGCCCCAGCATTTTTGTCACCTTCACAAATTGGACTGTTTTCGAGAAATACAATCATTTGCAAATCAATTTGGTTTTCGCGACAGACTCAACTGAAACTCTTGTTTATGATATTCTTCAACTGAATGTGCTGCACACAGGCTGTCTCTTGTTTCAGTTGGCACGATATTCGAGATATCGCAGTGTATTTTCATGAAGGAAACTACTCACAAGGTTGCTGAAAACTATTCGACAGCCCAAGACCGGTTTCACCCTTCTTGGGGCTCATCAGGTAGGCGCAGTCTTCCGGAAACTCGGGGACTGTGCCTACCTGTGTGCAGCACATTCAGTTGTAAAACATCATAAACGAGAGATTCAGTTGAGTCTCTCGTGAAAACAAAATTGATTTGCAAATGAGTGTATTGCTCGAGAACCTCATTCCTGTTTTTTCGATTGCTGGAAACGTGGGAAACTATGTTATATTTCATAGAAAATACAGTCCAAGGACAGTACAGACGAAAAAATATATCTTGCCGACTGACACGAGTGACTGTTCTCAAAATCTTGGTCTTTAGTACACTTATACTCAGACTTCTCCGATCTTTTCACAATCAGCCTGCTGAGGCCAAGACCTCTGCGAGATCACATTGCACTTTCGATTTATTCAATCAGCTGACAGCCGAAAATCTCTTGCCGAATTTTTCAGCAGAGTACGATAAAATATCTGGCTTTTTTCCAAGTGATGATTAGAATCTTATGACAAATTACCCGTTGAGTTTTTTTCCCATTACAGCTAAGCCGTTTGAGGACTGATGCCGTTCATACACATCTGCATGCACGAAACGGCCATGCGGATCGTTAGATGAGCTGCGCTTTGAAAAGAGCCTGCACCCCGAACCAGGACAGGAACGGCCTCAGGGTTTTGAGTTCGATTATGGACTCTGTTGAACAATTCCGTCACATGTGGACTCCTGAATTGAAGATCTCCCAAAACGCACACAATTTTGTAACGAATTTAAAGCTACTGTTTTGGAGACCTGACCATACACAATGAAGACCTCCGTTTGTTCAATGTATACATAATTTTGCTATTGGCATCTATTTGATGCTGCAGTTGAACTCCTTTGTTTCCATTAAAAGAGTTCTCTACAAAAATGGTTGTTTCTGAAAATATGTTGAAACAATGGAAAGCAATCCTCGGTAGATCATTTAGGTTTCATCCCAAGCCCAGGAATGACAGAGCGTTCCACAAAACACATGTTACTGACTGGGAAGTCTACCTGAAGACAAGACTAGAATCGACCTCATCTCGGTTGATCATTCAGCCTTTCTGGAAAGCCCACTTAATTGTTCAGCCCTGTTTACTTGCAAGCATGTTTGGAGCATGGATGAGGCCCAGCCTGTTCACAACGTAAGTGTGGAAGGGGTCACAAACTAGATTTTGAAGCGAAATTGAGGCCACATCGATCTCTAACACGTTTACAAGAAAAATATGTTAAGGAACGAACAATTTCATGGGATTGCTGATATGTTACTGTGAGCTTTCAAGAACTGGGATTTTGAAGCGAAATTGAGGCCATATCGATCTCTAAAACGTTTACCAGAAAAATATGTTAAGGAATGGACAATTTCATGGCATTACTGATATGTTACTGTGAGCTTTCAAGAACTGGCGATCAGTCGTTATCATCAAACGTAGCTCTTACCACAGCGAATATGACAGCATATCACCATTTGCGGTAATAAACGCCCCGACTTCTCAGGATTCCCAGGTGTTCTCAAACAGTGGACCGTCTGCTCACAGTACTTACCTTTCAGTCCACAAGGCAGAAAACCATTTGGTATCATCACCAGCCAAGAAGTGTAGATGTACCTTGTAAACTGTGCTGCTCGCTGTAGACAGAAAAACCTTTCCCGAAGAGACCAACTTAATGGTAATAAAGTAATAATAATCTTTCGGTTCCTTTGCTGCCATGCTACCCAAAGGAAGCACGAGTGTTTGGATGCTGCCAGGTTGCCCAAGCCTAGACAGGGCCAGCTGAGATGCAGAGGTCGGGTTCGAACCACGGAACGGACATTCAGCAAATTCGCGGTCTAACCCATGGGAGCAACCTGCATGAGACCCACAGTGAATATTAGAGAATGTCACTGGGACTGAAGTGTACGTTTGCGTCCTTACATTACATTTGGTGAGGATTCCTTGTGTTGTGGCAAATAAAAAGATTATCACTGACAGCTAACACTAGGCGCACCTTGAAGACGGAATGGTTTCAAGGCCACAGCTCACACACCTAATGTTTACACACACCAACAAGTGCTATCTTTGGGTGTGTGTGAACTTCTCTCCCCCCTGAGAATAAGGATACCAGATATCAGATCGTCTAGGCCCAACACCCTTTCGATACCTAGCTGCCGTGCCAAAGTAAGTCCGAGGGCCTGGCTACCCAAGCCTAGAGAGGAGCGGTTGGGATGCCGATGTTGGGTTCGAACCACGGACCTTTTGTTCGCGCTCTGAACACCGAGCTACTTCGAGTTCTCTGAGGATGTTGACACCAGATCAAAAGTTCTTCTTTCCAAATCGCATACGAATGGATTTGCCACCCGTCCTCCGTATGATTTAGCGAACAAAAGGCAATGTAAACAGTCCATATTTTCTTAAAAATCGATCAACAAATAAAGGTAACGAGTTGCATCAGGGTTAGTCATAGATTTGTCGGAAAGCATACGTATTATCTTGGGTGATTTGCGCCTGTGGTGAGATGCTTTTTTCAAATGAGTTTCTGCGATGAAAGTGTACCGGTGATGAATGTGTTGGTGGGCTCAGAATGGAGCAGAGAAAAGAAAAATGCTGCATTGGAAAAGGCTGAATGAGAGAATCGAGGGTCTGGAGAAAGATGGACGCCTGCGACTGGAAGAGGTCAACAACCAGACGCAGTCGACCGACTCGATCCGAGACATCAAACAATCGAATGGAGTCCCCAGAACTCCAGATTGTACGGCTCGCATCGGCCATGACGGCACCGCATTCATTTGGATTAGAAAGAGATAATTGGTACTCCGGAGTCGAATGAAGTTTATCAAACAAACTCGTCAACTTTCTTCGTATATTTTCGGTCAGCCAGCTCCCCAAAAGAGCGTTAAGCTCTGAGGCCCAGTCGATAAAGTTGTTGGAATGTTCTCTGCGAGTCAAAGCTAGGGATAACAGAGTAGTCAAAGAGCAAAAAGTGAGCACTACTGAGGAGTGCACACACTGTTGACGATATTGGTTTTCGCTGAGATGAGCAACCGGCGATGGAAATGATCCCACCAGCCGGGGTTCAAACTGACCGGATGATGGCGTTTCGAATTCGCATTCCTCAACGTTCTCCAAGACGTCGAACGAAGCATCCAGAATGGACCATTCCAGTGTTTGTTTCAACGAGCATTGATCAGTCATACGTACAGTATTAAGGATTGTAAGGAGATTAACTGGCTCCCATTGTTCTTGCTGATTACTTTCTGCCTGTCGTTGGTACTTTGGTTGTTGAAAAAGGCACAGTAATGAGTTGGCGGCATAAGCACGAGCCTGTGTAGGAGGGAGAATAAGATGCGTGCGTTGATTTGCCAAAATGACTCAACAAAGTGAGCCTACCATGGCGATTACATTGAGTTTGAAGCCACCTTGTTCACTCTGTGGACAGAATCGACTTGAGCTTAGGCTCTTTTACGTACTCGTCAAAGGGTGTGCACTGTCTGAGGGGTGCATACTTAAAAAAAAGATGAGTAGGACAGTGTGAACAAAAAGAAGTGTTATGTAGCCTATACTACTGACAGAGACAACACAAACAGTAAGGCTTACCTTGAAATATCTGTCATTTGAAAATGTCTGAACAAGGTGCTCAACAACCATCCCATAAAGACGCACGGCTTCCGTCGACAAAACAGGGTCTGCAGAAGCGACCATGGGGTCAGCAAGCTGGGACCATAAGTACCGATTTCGAAACAGGTGGCCTGCGGCATAATTGGCATTCCATCGGATCTTTTCCGAGCTGCATACTTTGTCGGTTGTCATGGCAGTGCACATGGACTGTTTAGATGGAGAATGATAGCAAACGTCAGGACAATGGAACATGAGATTGAGATGTACAGAGAGAACCTGGGATACTACATGTTGGTTCAGGTATAGGCCCAATCGATCGAGGTTACGAAGAGGTTGTGAGAGAAAGTACTCCTCAAAAACAGCTGACACAAGCGATGGATCTGGGGCGTATTAGAAAAGTGCTAACGAACTGTGAGTTGTTCGACTGAGAACGACAGATGTTTCTGAATATCTCATTTTGCTTGGGAGGTGGGCTGGGATTGGTCATCGAAAACTGCTTGAAAAGTGCTGCGATTATCAAATTCCTTATGCTGGCAACTCTTGGCGAAGCCTGTTTCATTAGAGTAAGATATAGAAGCTGATTCGGGTTACAAGGGAGCTGACATCAAATGAGACAACCATTGTCCAAGTGTTGTTTGATTGGGGATCTTCAACAGGGTGGCGAGAGTTCTAGAAGGTATTCAAAATGGTCGTTTTCACGAAAAAATTGTATGACGAATACGGATCTGACGGAAGCTCCAAACTGCGAAAATGTATTTCGTTCGTAGTAGTGGAGCTCACTTACAATTTGAAAGAGATAAACATTTTCTTCAATACATAAAACGATGACACTTTTCAGCCTGTACCGAGGGACATCACAAAACAAAATAGCAGTGATCTTGAGAGCAGCAGGATACGGGGTATCGGCTATTTGCCACCTCTAAAACGCATCGATACACCTTTCTCAGTGTTTCGCTTTGATGAGTAGATTCGGAATGAGATCGAAAATTTCCTGCCAATCGTCACAGCTTTGTCATTCTTGTCAGAACAGAATTAAAGTCCGCCCGTTAATCGTGACGTTACCCGTGTGCCTCAGTCAAATTTATGCCCAGAGCTCTGTTTTTTCCACACGGGTATAAAACTTGAAAACTCTCAGGATAATACATGCTCTTTTTTGATCCTCAGGCGAGTTTTTTCTTGGTTGGATTGTTAAAATTGCCACTGCTTCAAAACCGCCACACTTACTCGGTGGGGTCTCAGCTGTTTCTGCGATTGGACAGTGCAGTAAACGAAGCAAATGTGCTTAGCTGAGAGGCCTCAAAGCTCCTCAGAAAGTTCTGGAATTGAACAGTTTAATTGCCATTATCTGGCACCAACTTGGTGTGTTGCTAGCGACGAGGTACCACACCTAGCTCTATGGAATGAGGACTCCTTGAGGCAGTGGTACGGCATGACGCGAATTGGAAAAAACGAATAAGTCGCATGCCAAGTGCTCTTAAAGTAGAGGCCTTCATCCCACGGATGGTGGATCAGAATCGCCCCGCAAAGGCGACGAGGAGAGGCCTTCATCCCACGGATGGTGGATCAGAATCGCCCCGCAAAGGAGACGAGGAGGCACAAAATCCCCATTGTACTTGTACTCTCTAAATGGATTGATCTCACTCCGCTAGGTCAAATCAACGGCTTCTGAGCAGTCGGACAGTAGCAACGGATGAACTGAGAGGAGGTTCATTCGAATCAAACCACGTCACACTGGGAAGTGATTTTTCAGGAATATATGAAAGTACAAAACAGTGAAAATGTAGTCCGATGGTAATTAGGGCTAATAAGTGTTATGGAAGCGCATCGGAGCTAGGATAACAGCCAGTGATGAACGGAATCACAGAATTTCGGCCCGTTGTGGTTCTCCTAGGTTAAAGTGTTTGCTCAGAGCACAAGCAGAAGTTCGAAATTGTCCGTAACCAATCTGGGTGAGCAGAGTTCCGACCGTCCGGTAATATTTTGCCGGTAGTGATCAAAAGCGTCAACGCACCCGCTGACTAAGACATTTCTGGCGATTCGAGTTTAATTGGAAGTGTGTTCAAGTAGCTCGACCGCGAGACAGTAATTGTTTTTCGAAAAAAACGGGAAGTGTGACTGAAGAGTAGTAAAATGGGGGACAGTAGATCAAAAAGCGGATTTCCTAATAAGTGTTAAAAAGACACCAATCTATCTTAATCTGACAGCGTAGAAAGAAAGTTGTCAGACTCGATTAAAACCTTTGGCGACCATACGCAGCTGTTAGTTAGGGAATTTACATAAGAAAACCTTTAAAGATATGTGACAATGGAAAACTATGAAGCGTGGGAGGTATTACACAACACTTCGCTCATTCCATTCTGTAATCCCACTTCTGAACTGCGATAGTCACCTCCGAAATACATCATAGAAAGAATGCAGAAGGAATAGAAAGAACCAGTAACAGGCAGTTGGTTGTTGACCATAGAGAGAGAGGGAATGGAGATTGAATGGCGAAGCGCTTACCCTTATAATCATTTCCAACGTTTCAGGACGATCCAACAATCCTGGGGACAACAAGCGCAATATATAACCTAAAGCTTTTGATCCGTATTCACATCGACGAGCATCTGGATTCCTAACTTGTTCCGGATCCGAGCAGCCAACGTTGATCAGATTGGCCACCGTCTGACTGGTGGCTTTGCTGAACTTGGACGAATCAGGAGATGCAAGATCACTATGCCAAAAACAAGAAATAGCTTCAGAGTACAATACAACCTGAAAAATATCACTCTTAAGAAATCGATAGCGCGGCGGTACCAAACATAACTGGCTAGAATGGTGGCCGAATAGAATCACTCTTAGTGAAGATGGAAATGAGGAATCTCCTCAGGGAGCATCCACAACCGAAGGATGGCGTCGCGCCAGGACGAGTATTCGGAGGAATGCACTCAACTTCCGCCATGTAGCATCGAACCGATTTCGAGGCACGTTCGGATTGCCATTAATCATCCAGTTGAATATAACTACAAATGACTGGACACACTGAGCTATCACGATTATGCATTCCAACAAAAGGACAATAGTAACGATGATTACTGGGAACACGGAGACTACTGATCGTCATATACTACTTTATTCTGTCATTCATCCACATTGGTTTCAGTCAGTAGTTTAACTGTTTAGTTCCTAAAGAAACCGAGACTAATTTATCTTCCTAGTTAGAGAATATCTTGACAGAAAGTATCTCTTGGTTTTCAGGAAGCATGTGCCTATGAAAGGAGATTGCAGTAAAGAAAAAACCCGTGTCTCAGATACTGTTTCCCCGGTAGAGAATTGCCCTCAAGGGGTAGAATTGTAATAGAATTACTTTGTGTGATAGTAAAGCAATAAACCGATATGACGCACAATGAAGTAGGAGCGCACTTTTGAAAATTGACTTTGGAATGAAGACAGAAGTCATGAAAGAATATTCAGGGTGACGCCCAAATTTTACGCTGCATTCACAGCTCTACGATGTTATTTCATTACAAATCACAGTTTCTGGTTTGTGAAGCGCTACTTCTGTGGGAAGTTTAGCCTTCCCCATTATCTACCTGACTGTAAATTAATCAGAAAGTACAATGAAAAGTGCGGGGTTCATCCCCCGGTACTGCGGCGATCGCAAGAAAGATTTGATTGATATTCACCTTCTACAAAGAAAATTAAAATGGAGTAACCAAACAGCTCTCGAGGTCACAGATGCAACAACTACGGAATAGCTGGACTGTATAGCAGGAGCGCCGAAGTATCTATTAAGTTCCGAAGCTACAGAACTACCACAAAAATATTTCGAGGATTTATGAACCGCAGTTCGTTCACGGACTGCGCAATGAAACGTAACGTTGTCAAAAAAGCACCGGATCATTGATAAAAAATGAAGCACAGTAATTGAGAAGCGCTTCAAAGGTTCCATAACGATTAGGTCTCTTCTGAACCCTTAAAACGCGACAAAGTTTAAGTGGAACGCACGAAGAACCTGAAGGTATGAAACGCAGTGTGAGGGTTCGCTATATCCACGAAAGTGACACAAACAGGGGGGGGGTAACATTGTGGAAGGGCAAACCGACTCAAGCATAATCCTTGACCAAACAACACCATTTTCTCCCATTCGTTCACCGATGTCCATCCAACAAGTTGGATGATCGCCATTTTGAACAGACTCTTCACGAATGGCCACCATTTCCAGGGCACTGGCTAATGCAGCTGCAATATCCAGTCCGGCAGCAAAGCACTGTGCTCTTTGCCATAGGCGTTCAGCCGAGACGAGTATGTAACAACAGAGTTCGAGGTCTTCGCTCAACGGACTGCAGGGGAGGGTAAGAAAAACAGGAAACTCTATGATACAAGGAGTGGTACCATTTGTGGATGTTTACAGCGGCTACCATCTGGTCAGAAAAATCCAATATTTTCGTATGCTCACCGTTAGATACACATAGACAGTGCGAAGTGACAACAATACCGACGAACCGAGAAACGGCTAAAACAAACACCGGCTTCGGAAACCCATCGGTTAAACAACGGTAAGATAGTCAGGCAAAAACCCTGTCCATAGTAACACTATGGATGAAATTATATCCAACTTTGAAGTAGTGATCCAGGTAAGAGTACCCCTAGAAGGGTGGACTACAACGTACGCTTGCTCCAGGACGTACAGAATCTAAAAATTTGAACCGTAATTCAAGAATGGGAATTCGAGATTGTGGAAAGTCTCAGGTGCTTTGCAAGCTGTATGGACTACGGTGATAGGGAGGGACGGGGCCCATTTCTCAAAATAAAGGGCTAGAACCCAGTACACGAAGCTGCGCGTTTTGGGGCGTCAAAGAGATATATGGTTATGTCTATATTGTGCGTGCATTAGAATAGACAATGGACTGTACGATGTGGCCTCTGGAATCAGGGGAGTGACGATGCTTATATGTCTTCAAGAAGAGTTCGGGAACCAACTCTGACGCGGCTAGCACCAAGACATTCACAGTGATGTGACAACTGACCGGGGTGTCCGAGAAGTTGGCACACACCTCACCTCAGGACTACATCCAGCGATGCAAAATGAGGTAGCTCGATCGTGTTCTAGGCATACCAAATCATTCATTTACAAGAACAGTTTTGTTTCTCGATGTGTTGCAAACCGAACTGAGAGAGGTGTGTACCTTTGTCGTGTAAAATAAATAAAACGTCTAGGTACCGTGGTTGCGATCAGGCTTTCAGGATGGAGTCCCTCCATGTAGTTGACTGGGGATGGTGCAGGGTAAGGCGGCAATGCAAACTAATGGTTCTCGGGCATCCAGTTTCTGCCCAGATTGTCTGACCGAGTGCTTTAGTTGTACGCGATCAGCAGGTTTGAGCTAGGATAGCACCAGACCCTTTTCCTTTTCACTGCCGAGAATGTTTCAAAACAATGAGATCTGAAGTCTTCAACAGGAAGTCCCACGTCATCTCATTTGGTCGGATATACGCCATGAAGTGTTGATCCCCATAGTAGGTCTACTCATAAAAGGGTTATGGCGGAGTGAAGGGGTTTAGTGTGGCACATGTATCGGTTTAAAATACACAGAACAGAATATGTGGACGGCAACACACTGCAAGAGGCTGAGTGCATTATAACAAAGAGACTGTAACATACTCAACGATTCATGTGACGGCAGTAAACTAGATGATCACATCCGACCGCAGTCTTCAGAGCGACGTCACAGTGTTTACAATATGTGCAGGGCAGTTTTATGAATGCTTTTATTTGAAGATCGTTTTTCGGGTGAAATTTTACTAATATCGCAAGGCCTCGCATGTTTTTAAGCTAGACCGAGAAGCAACGCCACCAAACCGGCCCCATGAATTTTGTTTAGTTTTTTGTATCTTTACTCATGGTCATCACGTCCCACAATCCCGACGCGTCGGGGGACAGTTTGATCTGATGGCAAGTTCACTATCAGCGTCATTTGGTGAGTTAGGGGTGAGAGTGTGGAGGAGCTCTGTGTACCCGAGGTATTCAGTGGATATGGCTTTCCTTGAGTGAGCGACTGGCAGTTCCTAAGATAGAGGTGCATTGTTCATGTTTAATGAATGTCGTCAGTGTGACCCAAGGGCGAAGAAGACCTCGCGGGTTGTGTCTGGATTGTCAGCGGATATTGGCTGCTGTCTGTAAGAGACATAATTCTGAAGAAAACCTTTCGGTTTACAAAACTTGCCTCGAATTTGTGAGACACTGTGTAAGTAAATATGAAGTCAACTTCGGATATCCTCGGCCAAGTTAATTTTTGTTTGTGTAAAAAAGGGAAACTTTGAAATTCCATTGTCAGTATACCGCTAGTCCAAAGTAAATCCTGCATGAGTTTTCAGTAGTTGCACTCAAATTCAGTAATTGTACACTAAATCTTGCTTCCTTTCAGTATGTCGGTGAGTGCACAAGCACTCCGCCTTCTGATTTTTAACTACGATGAACATAGCTTCATGTTTCGAAGTAGATGAGCCGCAAGCCGCAAAGCTGCAGCAAAGCGCCATTCGTAGCACCCTGGGAACATTGTCATTTATGGAAAAAAGTTTAATTTTAATCCTTAGTGGGAGAGTAGTTTCGACAAAGGTGCATTTGTTGGACACAGGCTTCCCCTACCACGCCAAAAGGCGACTGAGTTTCTACGCAACGTATTTCGAGACATAGAAGTTTGGACGCGTAGGTACGGTTATCGTGGTCCACAAACGTTCAACGCGATACGTTAAATGCTGTTTAAGCCGGAGAGTGTAGAGATGGCTACAAATATTGACACGGTTTGATTCTCGGTACGGACTACTGGTGATTGGCTGGTGCGTTGGCCATCCTTAGTCACTTCGGTACTCATGGCCTCTGTGCCACCGTCCCGGTTTGATCAGAGTTAAACGTCCAATCAGTTCTGTTGTTTTCCCACTTGCTTTGTGCAGCATGAAGTGGTATGCTTGAAATAGTTTCCGAATGCGCACGGAACCCCGTGGAATCTAAATTGGCTCAGGAAGAGTGCACTTTATTCATATGGATGCAGGATTACAAGAGGTGAAACCGCAAACAGATTGGATTTCGATTTTCAAATATTCTTGGATGAATGACGAAAGCCAACTACGTCTGATAGACTCATCATTGCAATGCGTATTTGTGGGATTTGGAAGTTCGAAATTCTTCACTGCCACACACCGTGTCATTGATTTTAAGCCTCACAGAAACGCCAAATCTTAGGACCCCTCCATCATCAAAGTCTTCAATACATTAACCGAGGTGCTGTAAGCAAATCAACATCATTTTCAGCGCCGCCGCATACTGTCGCGGCTACGGTTGTCGCAGTTTTCTTCGCCAGATATTTGGGGATGTAGGATAGACAGCTACGCATTGGAGATAGTAGTTGAGCGCGCGACTGGGCTGTCTAACAATGCCTCGTCTCGAGGTCCACATCCAGGGAAACGATAACGAGCAGCGTAGCTGGGTTGCTTTCCTACTTCGCTACCGAGCCATTCTTCGACCCCCACTGGGTCCTGTACTACTTCCACATGCTAGGGAAAAAAGGGCCTTCGAGGAAGCCTGTCAACTGACATACGCAGCACGTGAGTGAGCCAGGGTAACCTACGGAGTATCACCAGTTTCTCTATTTTGGACGACCTCGTATTTCCAAAAACCATTCGATATACTTCAGCATTACTGAGCAGATGTTCCCACCAGACTCGGGCAATGTTCAGAAGATATTGATTGTCAAATGCTGAAAGTCTTTTGACATCCTCAGTGCACAATAACCAGGTTTCTGATCCGTACAGTAACTTGACGCATTGTAAAGTTAACCCTTGACGGATAAGGTGATGTCACATCTACGCTACAGGTGATGCAGGTTCGCAAAATCTGCTCTATCTTTCTGATTTCGGATGAAAGTATCACTGTTGGCTAGAACTAGGATGGATACAGCTTCACAAGGGAATGAACATGTCTAACCCTTCAGTCGGCTCATCCGCAAGACTGAGGCTAGGGTTGGAGCAAACCCAGTCTTGCAGCATCACTTTACACTTCGCAGGTACGGAACGCAGGCCAAACCATGAGGTCGAATTATTTGGATTATTTAATACCGTCTGCATTATGATAGCGTCAGATACAAGAGAAGCTATTTCATTTGCGTACTCGATATCTGTTAGCGAATGCCCTGGAGGCCTTTCTACCCCGCGGGTCTTAGAAGTTGGCAATGAGTGTTCCGTAATCGTATCAATGACGAAGCTGAAGAAGAAAAGGGAACGAGAACAGACGTAGCTGACATCATTTGACGTAATAAACTCAAGCGAGAATTTCCGTAAACCTTCACGCGCCCGTGGGAGTTGGCGTACAGTGTCTTACGGAAGGCCAAGAATTTATGGGAACACCTTTGCTCCATTGGCACTACCATAATACCTGACGGTCCAGAGTCGACGGCAGTCTTTAGGTCAAGGAAGACAATCAGTGTTGGTTGGTGATAGCAGTGTCATCGTTCCAGAATTTGTCAGAGGGTGGAACTCTGATCTATGCATCCTCTCGCATCTTGATTTCTACTGATCTGCCTCATCGTGTTCATCCGACCTTCGAAAGATAAGACCAAAGGGCACTTTCGATACCACAGTTACCAGACTAATGCCATCATGGTTTCTGGACAGCGCTTACGTGCTCTTTTTGGAGACGGGGATAACTGGTAACAAGCTCCATTCTCCATGCACTTTCTCTTCACCCCATGTTACGTCAATGAGTTTTGCCAGATGGATGACAACATATTACACACCTTCATTCAAGAGGGTTAGATACCACCATTCCGGCTCTGGTGCTCTTTCATGTTTGGGTACGGATACGTCATAATTTATTTCTTTTTCTGAGGGGTAACTCAGGTTTACATCTCATTCGCCCTTATGCAGTATATGCAGAGGCTGTGTTGCAGGAGGTCAGCTGAACTGTTCTCCGAAGTGTTCGGCCCATCATTTCGGTCGACGTTTCTGCGAGTGAATTAATGAGCCGCTTTCTTCATTTATCGTTTCACTGGCCGTGGCTTTCCTGTGACCAGTTGATCGTATCAAGTAGCAAAAGGCACGGCCTCTCCTGGTAGCCAAACCCTTCTCCATCTCCTGAGTTTTCTATGCCTAACAAAGCTTTCGGTCTTATTCTAGGCTCTCCATTAGCTGGCGCTCGATGGATTTGCGTGCGTCGTCATACCCGTTGGCTACTGGAATATACTTTGTGCCATCAATTGGGATTAGCGATCTCGACGTTACCCAGTGGTCATTTGGTTATAATGAAGTCGGTCAGATAGCACCAGACGCCGCGGGCATATCTCCACTCGCG